CGTATTGTTATTTAAGCATCTGTTTGATCCGTTTATTGACATTAAATCACAGCAATTTATTTTAGGCTCATACCACCGTTGTAAACCAGATTAAAGGCCAAATATTTACTTCACATTTGGTGGGAACACACCGTAAGTTTCAGTTCTCAATATTTCAGTTCCTTTTGTACGCAAACCCCATTTTATTATTTGCCCCTGTCATGTCATTTGATAATAATCTTGTTGCCCGGATAAACTGAGATATAAAACTAAAAAGTGAAATGGCATCATCTGCAATCTGATGTCTATTCCCATCATCATTCACTTATTTCAGTCACGAAGTGTAGTGGAGGAGCACATGTCACTGACTATCACATAGAAATACAGACCATGGGGCGGCTGTGGCTCAGAGGTAGAGCGGGTCGTCCACTAATCGGAAGGTTGGCGATTTGATCCCCGGCTCCTCTCGCTGCATGTTAAAGTGCCCTTGAGCAAGACACTGAACCCCAAATTGTATCGTGTGTATGAATGATTAGTTTCCGTTCTGGTGAGCAGTTACCACCTTGCATGGCAGCTACTGCCATCAGTGTCTGAATGTTGAGGCCACTGTGTGTGGGAGATGGGGTGGTTGGGCATGGTAGGGCTGTGTCCACGCCAGGGTTCGGCGGGCGTGTCGAACACGAGCTGTACAGGCGCGACGTATACTAAGTAGAGTCGGAGCGGGTGGTGAGCCGACGGTGGTACCAATGCCATCTGAGGCCGTGCAGAAATCTGAGACTTGGAGTAAGCGCGGTTGTGGGTGTGGGTTGGTGCTAGAAAGTGTTGTTTGAGCAACACTGGTTTGAAGGGCAGAGAGGTTGTTGCTGTTTGCTGCAGAGGCCAGCTCTAGAAAAGCCTAGACGGAATAATAATGGTAAGAGAGAAAATGAGTAAATAAATGGTACGTTTTTGCTGTCACTTGCGTGTATGGGGTCAACAACACGCGCTCAGTGGGGTAAGCGTGGTGTGGAGGCACAAGACGCAGAGAACTGAGCAGGCCCTGCGATCTGTGCAACACAGGGGAGCTGTGAAGATTCCTAGTGCTAGCACCTCTGGCTGTGTCTTTAATGACAGTTAGTGTGAGAGAGAAAGGTCGGTGTGCGCTGATGATCAGCTGCGATCCCAGAGTCGCGTGTAAAACAGTAACACACAGCCGAATATATTGGTTTTTTAAGTCCTATCCTTTTGTTTGCTGATTAGCTATTTGAAAGAAAGCCATTTACATGAGGTCTACCCAGTGGAACATGACGGAAACACGGTTGTCCATATCCTCGGGCGCAGTACATGACTGATAAGCATCAGTGTCTGATCATCTAGGTCGTGTCCGAGCCCAAAGTCGTGGTGTTGTACAGAGGCGAAAGAGTGATGACTTTTATACGCTGCGAGGTAGCATAATGCTTGTAAGTTTTACCAGTTGTTAGGTTGAAATGAGTATGCCTAAGTCATTCATTTTTCATTCTGGGCATATTACAATTATTGACTGGTAGAGCCTGACACGCCACCTGGTAGTTGTGTTGTGTTTGTGTTGGTTTTGTGTGTGGGTTATGGGCCTGTGTGCCCTCTGTGTGTTGTGTTGTTGTGTTGTTTGTGTTCATTATAATGTTTTTTCTTATTCTTGGATCTATGTGGGTGTTTGTGGTTGTTTGTTGTGTGTTCCAGATGTGGTCACTGTTTAGGCCTGATGTTGTATGATTTATTAATTTGTGTGTGTGTGGTGAGTATGCTGTGTTGGTGGTTTGGTATGACCACATATTTTTCGTGTGATTAGTGATGTATATGGTTATGGTATATATATGTGTTTTTTAAATAACCTCGAAAATTCTCTATACGAAAAGCAAAGTTCTGTACAGATCCAACGTTTTGTGGTAAGGTAATGTATTTTCCCTGTATCTTATGGAATGATCGAGGTTGGTGGTGTGTGGTGCGTACATGCATCACCGTGGAAAGGATGTAAACGGCCGGTCTGGCTTGTCTTTGATCAGGGTTTGTATGCGATTGTCCAGCTAGGGAATGAGAAAGCGGTTTACCACAACCTGGTTCATCAAAAGGCTGGAGTAATCGAACAAAGAAATTTTGATGTATGGAGAGTGGGAACATAACAGGTCGAATGGACTGAACGGTCTTACTCACCTGTCTGTAAACCCGGCATACACCTTAGGAAGATATATCTCTCTGTGCTGTGGAGAGGAAACCAGACACACCAGTGAAGCACCAAGTGGAAAACAATAAACGGCTTCCTACAGTTTTTTATCGACCCAGTATCATTTATAAGTCCCGATTTAGTCTTGACTTGTCATCACTCTGTCCAAATTGCCTTTTCTCCCTTTGAAAAAACCACAAAAAGAGGAGGAAACCCACATTGCAAAATAGCCATCAATGTTATCTGTGTGGTTTCTACATCTTTGGAGATCCTTCAATCAGATTCAGAAGGGTGTGTGAAACTGATCAATTGAATTTTCTTCTCTCCCTCTTCAGGGGATCCTGTTCAAGACATACAGACTTCTTAAGATTGGTTTGGTTAACTCTGTAAAAATGTCAAGCCAATGTATGGAAAGTGGATTGGATAACAAATGTTTTCTTCACGAAGTAAGATTTTAAGGGATCGTAAGGGTGTGAGCTTGCATCCGTAAAGGAGAGGTGGAAGAACGGAATAACCTTTTTGAAAATAAAGAGATGATAGCACATTAAATCGAGGACCTCGAGAGAGAGGAGTGTAACGATCTCTGTTGTGTTTCAAGCCCGAGTAGAGTGAGTGATAAGTTGTGTAAACAAGAGAAAGTGGAGAGAGTGTTAATGAATATGCATTACTAAATATGTCCAAGTGGGGTAATGTAGTAACAGCGTCTCTATTCATGTCAGCAAGAGATAAAAATAGACGAGTTAATTTTA